TTGTTGACTGTTCAAAGATTAATTAGAATGCAATGACTTGATTGATCATCAGCCGTTGTAATTGATTGGTATGCGATGTGCAACAGATTTAGTAGTGTATTGCATTATTTCATTATTTATTGCAAAAAGATGATCAAAACAGAGTGGGTGTTTAAGTGATCAAATATTTGATCATATTTAGAATATTGGAATCGATGAAATATGTTATCCATTCCATCCAATAGGACCGTTTCGAATAGTTTTGGAGAATTTATGGAAAGAAGAAATCGCCCTGCAATATTGCCGAAGTCGCGCAAGAAAATGATTCAGAATCAATCGAAACGGTAATTCCAAACTCTGAAACCGAGTAGAAAACTCGTACAAAATTTCTGTTTCTGACAGAGAACCTCCAGAAATCGATAGACAACAGAAACAGTATATCAAGTGGAGAGAGCGAAGGATTTTCTCGATGACTTTCAACCGTCTTTGAGCGATAAAGACAGGATTTTAATGGAAAGATACAGAAGAAAAATCTGAGGTCTCCAAGTCTCAAATACTGCTTCCAAGAAATTTTCGCAATTTTCTGAAGCTGACCGTTTCCTTTCCGTACAATCCGACGTAGGTTTTTCAATATTAAGATACGAATAAAGTGTGTGTCTAAATTTCTTCTCATGCTTGGTATTAAGGATGTACTTCTGAACATTCGATTTTGGATCGATACTCGGCGGCTCGACTCGACTCGGCTCGGGTCGAGTCGAGTCGAGCCGAGTCAGATGATTTTTAGATGCATGCCGAGTCGAGCCGAGTCGAATAAATGATTCAGTCGAATCGAGTCGAGTCGATTTGAATTTTTTTGACTCGTTTCGGTCTCTGATGCGAGCAACATGCTCTTATCATAGCCGTGTCTTAGAAGAGGAGCAACGAAAAGATCTGAAACTTTCACAATAAATTATTCTCACTAAGATCTATCTCTGTGCAAAGTTTCAAGTCGAAATTTGAAACTCTGTTTTCCTGGTGTTCCTGAGGGAGACCACGAGATTGAGCGCAAAATGTCCTAAAAATACAATATCTTGATAGTAATTAGCTATTGGCTCGAACTCTTTTTAGGGCGTTCATAGCTCACAAGGACCTACATAATGCACATAGCCCAGACTCAAAAGCGATTGATCAGTTCTGTGTGTTTCCTCGTGAGTTCGAACGTAACGTCCATTTTGTTCTTTTCTGGGCAGTTAGATGATTCAAATGGCTCAATTTTTGTAGAATTTCACCCTCTTAGGTCGAAAATCTTCATTTTCTCACTATTAAAGCCTTTCTCTAAGAAATTCTAATACAATAAAACATTTGGCATCGTAATCTTCATACAAAAACTCGATAGATTTTCAAATTTGAACACTAACGAGTCTTATTAGGAAATTCAACACAAACATATTTTATAGTTAGAAAAATTTTAATTTTTTTTAACTGAGTGATTTTTATTCATTTTTACATTTTGTAAAATATTTCAAAAATTTATTATTCACACCTTATTATTGAATGATAACATCAATTATATCCATTAAAATCTTTTCAATTATTATTATAGAAGAACAAATAAAGCATTCAAAATGAAATTTGCGCTTGTAAGAGCATATAATAGACGATCTAGCGTAATAATTTAATAAGTAGCTTTGTTGTAAATTCAAAGAAGAGTTTTCTCATTCGTGCTTCAATTTGACAAGTAATATCATAAACACCTCAATTCAATTTTATCAAACAAATAACAGAAAAAAAAAATCATAATAGAACATTCGATAATTTCAATATAACAGAATTCCTATGATTAATAATTATAATTCATTAACTATTAACTGACAGAAACCAAACGATCTGTTTGTTTTTTTACTTTATAAATTATGAAAGAGTAATTCTATTTATAAAGTTTTTTGTATAATAGCGATTAACATTAGATAAAAAACAAAATGTCAAGAATTAATAATAGGTCAATAATATAATTCTATCAACTATGAACATCATTCTATCATTTTGTTTTGTACAACTTAATTTTATTAACTCATTTTTCTTACCGATCATATGTCATTGCAACATTAATAAATGTTGTTGAAGCAAGTGTAACAACTTGAATATAAAGTGTTAATTTACAAGCAAAATTTCCTAAAATCCATTGTTGATCAAATATTAAAAGAAATAATTCTGATGTCATTGTACATAAACATATTGTTAAATCACCAATAGCTAAATTAAGTATAAATAAATGTAAACGTGTTCGATGTCGATGATGATAAAATAATTCATATATAATATAACTATTACCAATTAAAGTTATAAACATTATTATTAATAATATAATAATACGAATAATTTTATCAGTTGACCATGAATAAAAATACATAGTAGAATTCAATGAAAAATTATTCATTATAAACTAAATATTAAAAAAACAAAAAAAAAATGAATTTATACTTTTTTTTTTTTCTATAGATAAAAAATCAACATTCCTTTTTTTTCCTAATTTTTACATAGTCAAAAATGATTTTTTTTTTGTCTCCGTTGAAGAAATATCTATTCGATATTTATTTTTTCTCATATGTTTATGATGATTATATTGATACAACACTGTGATAATTAGGTCATATTATCATTTGTATACAAAGAAATCAAGTTGTCCATTTGATGCAAATTACATTCCTTCTTTTTTTTTCATCATGTAAAATAACAACACTATCTTTTGTTTTTTGTCTATGTAAAAAGAAAACATGTCACTATCATATCTAATTGTACTTGTTGATAAAAGTATTGAACCATTCTATGGATAAATCTCTTTTAAAACTGATGACTGAATAGTAAAGTATGTAGACAGATTTAAAACATTTGGTTTCTTCTATCAAATAATACCTTAGTTGACTGTAAATAATGCCTGATACGTACATTTTAAATAATGATCTTGGTTTAACATTATTTTCACAGTCTTTTCTATGTAATCCTATAGACAAGTATTATGATTACCAATAGAGAAGTACGTTCTTCTCGTTTCCTTTTTTTTTTCTTTCATCCAATGTTTTTCATTTATTTCTATTCTTTCAAATAATAGGTTTTTTTCTCGTTAGATTCTTTTCATTTTCTATCAAGTATTTGTACTTATTCTTTTTGTGTACTTTGATGTCTATATTTACATTTTTTCTTTATTAGAACTATTTTAACGTTTTTTTATTTTTCATTAATATAAGATTTACTTCGAACTTATGTTTTTGTTCTATTAAACATCAAAATCTATACCAATGTAATAATAAGCCTTAGGGTATTAAACTCTTTAATAAAGCTTAATTATATATATATATACACATTAGGAAGATAAGCAGTCTTTCATCTTAGCTGACGGAGGATATTTTTCTAGTTGTTCTTCTATTTGACTTAGAAAAAGTCTAAACTACGACAAATACGTGTTTATGAAAGAGCTCGTTAAAGCAACTAGGCCATAAAAAAAGAAATGTACATCCATATGGATCTATGTTAATTCAGCAAATCATAAATTAGCTTGTAAATACACAAAAGTATATAGCACATCAAATTCTACTCAACTCATCAATCTAACAAAGCAAACAACCTTTTTCTATCAAAGAAAATTTACTTTTTTTTTTGTTCTTCTTTTTTTCTTAATCTTGTCTAATATAATAATTATAAAAAAAGAATCAATTATTTTTCTTTCCCTAAAGCAAAAGATTTCTTTCAATTAAATTCTAATAGAAAAAAAAAAAGAATTATCAATCAATGTATGAAATACATATTTTTCAAAATTAATATTCTTTGAATTCCATAAGAAACTATTATTTTTTATTGTACCAACACTCTCAACATATAATCACAATGCTAATTTCTAAAATAAGAAAAATAAATTTTTGAGAAATATTTTGAAAACTTATGAAAAATCACTAATCAATATTATTCATATTAATTTTATTGGCTATGATGATATACAATTTTAAATAAATAAAATAAGATTTCACTTAAAATCTAACAATCGATATAATTATCTCATTTATTCGAAATACTTTAATATAAGATTTAGAAGATTTCAATAAAATAATAAATTCTTATTCGATTGATTTATTCGTCATTGTATTAATCTTGTCATTAACGTTACTTTTCGACATCAAGAAAATTATCTTGTTTTTTTTAACACTAATAGAAAATATCTGTAAATACTATCAAATAAATAATAGTATTCCTGAAATAAACGCTTTGTAACGAATGAATATATGACAACATGAAGGAGTAATGTTACAACTATCTTCAATTATGATGCTTACTTTGCAAATTTTCAAAAAAAAAATATGTATCTCACACGCAACACAAGTTTTGTACTAAAAATAAAAACAGTGAGAAATACATCAACGATTAATAGAAAGAAGAAAAAGATGAATAAGCTAACAAGAATTTCATATTATTATCAGTGTATTGTTACATTCTATGGAGCATCGGTATAATTGAACAAGAAATAGAGAAGATCAAGAACAACTAATGAAGAAAAAGAATGAAAAAAACCAACGCATAACGCTATGTTAAGTTCATTATCTGGATTTAATCTACCAAGAAAAAAAAATTAACTGACTAACACTGAATATAAGAGACCTCTTGAATCACTTATATATCAATTAGAAAAGTTACTATACAATTCTCGCTTTCCATATTAAAAAAATAATCCAAACGCAAAAACACAGATGTTATGGTACTACTAGAAATCAGAACAACAATAAATGTGGAAAAAAAAATATCGATTTGGTACAATGTCGCTCAAGCAAATGAGAATTGCTGAAAATGCGTTTAAATGTTCTAATCATGATTTTCATTTGAATGTTTTTCATCACCATTTAGAAAAACAACTTTTACATCTGGCAAGCGTGCATCCTTTTTTTCCCCATAATATTGTGATGTCTTTTGCATATGAATATGACTTTTTTTTTATAAATGCATCGCATATATGTCAAAAATATTATGAGAAAACTTTTTGAACCTTTACCACATGTAAAAAGTTGCCTTTTAAAATGTTTTCATGTATTTTTTTATGATGAAAGTAGTTCAATATGATAATTTTTTGAAAAGAAATGCAAGCATTAAAATAGAAAGTGTTCTCAGATATTCATGGATGCTTGGAGATTTAAAAGAATGTATATAAAAAAGTGTATTTATGACGTATTCTCAATCTTCATCAATTCATATTTCACATAAAAAAATCATCGATTTATATTTCATAGACTAATATATAAAATAGAAATTAACTATTTAAACAATTCATTAGTTAGCGCACAGTTCTCAGTACTGCATCTATAACAAAGATATTTTGTTAATTCACTTCATTTTTCTATGCTCTAACGTATGAACCTTTATGCTAAATAGTCTTTGTGTATTTGATAGAAGTACATCTAACAATAATTGAGAGGATATCTATCATTTTCACAATCTATGTATTATTATCTGGATAACAAATAACTGTCATTGTTTACAGCTGATACACAATCACATTTAAGATTATCAATACAACATTTGTTATGACAAGAGCGAAAACTTATACGATTGAATGGTTGAGTGATGAAGTAACTCAAAAGGCAGCAGCATGATAAGTATAGATCTTAAAAAAGAAAGTACTCTGAGTAATGCACTATTATCACTCTAATAGTTGCTGACAAGCACGTCTACTAGTGTTCCGCAAAATTTTAGTTCTTCTATTAGTATTGCATTTATATATTGACGACACGAAACGAAACTATATCCTTTAGGTTGTCTCTTTCAATCCATTTATTACATCAACATGCATATTTTAACACTCATTGTTGTCAAATTAAGTCATTCTGCTAATGTATATGAGTGTGGACAACTTGTTTTCATCACTTTGGACAAATTCAATTTTCCATTTTCTTCATATTTCTTTTTTTCTTTATAGAAAATTGCTTATTTGACTCAGCATAACAATGGCAAAGAACAGGACAAAGATTAATAAAGTGAATTATGTGAAGACAATGCAGCACGTATTAATATTACTTGGTAGCTACCTTGGAGCTATGCATTATTGGCCAGATTCTAACAATTATTTAATAAAGTCTTTTCTGGCTCTCAGTCACACTTCTGCTTATCTTAGCAATAATATAGCATTCAAATATTATCCATTTGTTTATCTCTCAAAATTATCCATACTGCTATCTAGTAAAATGATAATTCATGATGTTGAGTTTTTCTTGAAAACCTATGTAGGAAAGAGAAATGAACAGATAAAAGAACAAAAATAAGAAAATGCTAGAGACAATAAAGAGTTCAATATAAGACTGATATCAAAATCAACACACAGTCCTAATGTTACAAATAATGTCTACTAGTTTTTGATTCTTTACCTATTCAGATGATACCGTAATTGCGAGTGTAACTATTGGTTTAGAAATTCTCATATTCTAGCAACTTTATTTCATATATGATTTATCATATAACAACTAAATTCAATCATACAATAAAAAAACTATATGATAAAGTTTTCATAAAATTTCCATGGTAAGGATCAAATTATCGAAAATACTGTCTCAATCTTCTGAATAAAATAGAATTGTCTATTTTTATGCACATGATATTAATATTTATCAAACACAATTGTGTAATCATTTTGATTTAAAATTTGATATCATGATTTAATGATAATAAAGAATGATGCAAAAGTCTTGATCGTTTTTACAAAAACATTGCCTTTACTTCGTTATTAAAAAGTCAAAAATGCTCAATGTTGGACATCTAATCTCTTGCAATCAAATGAATATTACTCTAAATTTTCATAAAAAATTCTTTTCCATATCCTAAAATCGAAAAACCAATCTTATTATTCTTCGATAATGTTTACAATAAATAATTTTTATTTCAAATATAGTCACAAACAATACAATATTTTACACTTTCTATCTCGTTACGGTCATTTCTATTGATTAGATGCTCTTGTTTATTAACTAGACATTATAATCATCTTGGTATTGGATAAATTAATTTTGAATACATTTGAAAATCGTTTTCTGTCAAAATTTATTCTTTAACTATTTTCTATTTTTGCAATAGACATACATTAAATAAGATAGAATTTAAAAAAATGCCGGAAAGTAAAAGTTCTATAAGAAAAAATAATGAGCGAATAGCAAAATATAGAGCACCCGTAGAAAATATCAAAGAATTTCTATTCGAAATTCAGAAATTAGAAAGGCTCTTACTCTAATGTTCTATTATCTACTTATATGGATTCCACATTTCAGCCTTCAAAGGAGAGTGCAGTAATAAGCTTTTTTTAAAACCCAATTCAACATACTACATGCATGTTGGACAAGAAATATATGAGTTTATTACACAACGCATTGTATTTGTATTTGA